CCCTAAACGCTAAACCCTAAACGCAAGGGCGAAGAAGTGCCTTCCAAGCAGGCGGTTTACGGCGGGCCCTCAGAGGTTTGGCCATCACTTGAGGTTAGGGTTTAGGGTCTCCTTAAGGTCCAAAGGACCCAATAATCAGGCACTTCGGCTTCGGATAGTAGCTATGAAGGTTACTATTTGGGAGAGTATATGATGATCTAGTACTTGGACCGTTGGGGTTGACGTCCCACCCCCTCCAAAAAAAACAGAACCAACAGAGCCCAATACCTCTTGATGGAGGTATGCACCTTGAAATAAATGAGACCATTTGGAAAATACATATACCGTGTTCCTCCTCCGAATACTGCATAGATAAACCTTCGTATGTATTGTCTGAATTCTGGAATAGAGGAGGGCTCGCTCGGATCACAGAACCCTTGACAAAGCCGGAGTGTAACTCACGAAACTCGCAACCCTAAACCTAAACTCGAACCCCTGAACTTAACCCTAGACCCTAAACCCCTAAACCATCCTAAACCCGAAAACCTTTCCATCTCGCAGCTTGAACTGCCAGCCCTAGATTTCGCAACCGTATTCATGAAACCTAAATCGTAGCTTAGGGTTTCGTTAGGATTTAAGTTTTTTCATCAGGTTAAACTATGATGAAACTTTCAAAGCCCCTGAAAAGTATATTCGTAAATAAGATCCTCTTGAGCCCAACAAGGGAAAATATGAAATTATCCCACAGGCCTACCTAGTAAACGCATCCTGCAGTTGCGTCCCGTATTCTGTTGGAGACGTCAACTGTTTCTTCTTCCGTCCCATAAGGGCCCTCTATTTGGGGTTGGTTTCGGATTTTTGGTGCCTCTTGCCAGGCGCGTAAACCAGAAACCGCGAATCTCCAAAAACATTAATCTAACCTTCCACCCTACCCCCAGACCCAAAGCCCTGCACCCTATTACCTTAAACCCTACACCCGAAACCCTACGCTCTACACCATAAGCCTTACACCCGAAGCCCGCAACCCTGCAATGCAAAAAAACAGCAAATCCAGCGCCCTGTGCTTGGCTCCGGGCGAAGGGCGCGGCCGAGGGACGTGTCCATTCTGCGAATCATTTGGGGTGTGATTGATTTAAGGCCTTGGGTTTTGGCGTTTAGGGGGGTTTGGGGTTCACAGGGTCTTTACACTCTTCGGGTATAGGGCTTTAAGGATGTTGGAAGAAGCGGAGCATTTCGAGGCTTAGGGTGTTAATAGCAAATGTAATCTTTTCCTGACAGAAACTCGACACACAAGCGAGAAGTGCGGCCGTGTATTGTGTCAACAGCACATCGTTCACGGCTTTGATCAGCCTGGCCACTCCGCTGCCGGAGTTTACGTAGATGGTTTGCCCGGGAACCTTGCCAAGAACTGCCACTCGTTTCTGCATCATGGTAGCACATCTGCTGCATCTTTGTTTTGGTGGGTCCTGAAGAACCTTTGCTACTATGACGGTCGTGCATCATTTTCCACCGGCATACCCAGCAGGTCATCCGGCGCGAACCGATGAACACGGGACCTGCCCTGCAGGACTTCCGAAAGGGTTTAGGGTTTAGGGTTTAGGGTTTAGGGTTTAGGGTTTAGGGTTTAGGGTTTAGGGTTTAGACTTCCCGACTCGCAACCATGAGCGCTTCGCCAGGAGGGCACGCGAAGTGGCATGCGTGGCATCGTCTTCGTCACGCAGACATGAGCACGGAATGACAGCAGCAGACATTGACATGCTTCGGAAGGCCTTGCGCCCAAAGAGAAACGGCAGACCTGGTTTAAGAGTTGGTGATGCTGCATCTCCTCTCGCTTCGACTTGTGCATGGCCTCATGTGCAGCTGTCTGGATCGTCAACGCTGTCGGCTTAGGCGCGTAAGGTCATCTCGCAAGCCACTATTGCAGCTTACAGCCTGAAAGGAACCCTTTGGGTTATGATGCCCGATACTAGCCCGAAAGCATACATCCTTAACCCCACATCCTAACCCCGGAAATCCGGATATGGAAGAAAAACTAAAGCCTAAACCCTGAACCCCTGAATCCTGAACCCTTAGTTCACAGAGCCTAGATTCCAAAAGCGCTGAACCCGTCTCACGTAGTCCCCAGAAAGCTAAAGCCAAAGTACTTAAACCTAGACTACCCTGTGGCAACCCTTCTGGAAACTCCTCTAGACGAAGCCTTAGAAACCCCGTGCAATAATCTATACCAGAGAGGTTCATAGAAGCTTGAACAAGTAGCAATACTATTCCTTTGGGTTCCTTGTTATATGTACACTATCATATCATAGACCCTAAACCCTGAACCCCCCCAAACCCTATTCCAATCATTAAGGCCCCTATGTAAGCCCCCTAATGCCCATATGATAGAAAACGTATCAGCCGTGTTTAGGGAACTCTTTGAAAGGCACTTGTTGAGAGAACCGTTTAGAAAAGGAACCCTAAACCCTAAACCCCTAAACCCCTAAACCCCTAAACCCTAATAAACCTCTACCAGGGCCCGACATGAGCTGCGGTTGGTCCAGGACGTCCTCTGGGATGTGCCGTCCAACCTGAGCCATTTAGGATTCATAGAGCTTAACTCTGAGCCCTAAGCCCCACACTCCTAAACTCTTATAGAACCCTCAAAGGGAGCCTTAAAAGGACCCTCTAAGTAGAACTGAACCAAGAAGAGGCGTTTAGGGGTTTGGGGCTAGAGGCCCAGCGACTCCAATATCCCTTAGTTAAGGAGTATACCTTAAATCATATTAGGGATCCTACTATAATTTAAGGTATATCCCTTAATTAAGGGATATTGGAGTCTCTGTGGGTGTAGCATTGGGGTGAGGGGGCTCTTGGTCGACCCTAAACACCAAAACGGCTTGGGGTTAGGGGGGTGTTGAGGGCTTGATGTGCGATCTCAAGACTAGGGGGCTTGGGCTCAGGATTTGGGGTGTGAAGAACGCTTTTCCGACATAGTTTTTCAGCACCACGCCTGCCTGAAAAGCCTGCCCTGCAAACATGCGTTCGCGCAATTTGTCGACGGCGCTCGGGTCATGTCACTGGCAAATTAAGTTTAAAGTTTAATGTTTAGAGCTTGGGGTCTAGGGCTTTGGGTTTAGGGCTTGGGGTTTAGGGTATTGAGAGTTTAGGGTTGAGGGTTTGAGCCTGGTTGAAAGGGGCCATGGCGCGGCTTAGGCGGTTTAGGGTTTATGCAATGTAGGGGCCTTAGTAATTACAATAGGGTTTGGGGTATATCAATTACACTATAATTATACTAAGGAACCCCCAAAAACCTTATTCGCATTATTCAGGCCCTACATTAAGGCAAAAGGGCTTTGCTTTGCTTTGGCAGCTCGACCTGTAAACCAAAGCAAGCAGCCGTCGTCCGGCTCCTCTTACCACGGTTTAGGGTTTAGGGTTGAGGGTTTAGGGTTTAGGGTTTAGGAGATGCCTTTCGCCGATACCAGAGACTCTTCCTTTCCCAGAGGCTCCACATATAGTACCATTATGGAATTAGGTCCCAAAAGACCATCCCTATTAAGGTGTTTTAGGGACCTAATTCCATAATGGTACTATATATATGGAGCATCTGGGTTTGGGTCCTATTCATAAGGGTGTCGTTCTATCTTTGGGACCTAAAGAAGGGGTCCTACTGTAGGGAACTACCCATATGATGGATGGAGCTTCAGATCCCAAGCCAATGCAGCTTCATGCTGTCGTCAAGCACTTGGGCCCACCCCATGCCGTGGCTGACAATCGTCACATGGTCGAGCGAGCGTCCCTTGCAGCAGGCCGCCACAGCATCCAGTAGGTTGGTCAAGAGCCTCTTCGCGGGAGGTCCCGTCGTGCGCTTCTTGACGGCATCACAGAGGAGTAGCGCTGCAGCATCTTTACCCGAAGCTGGAGCAGGAACTATGTCTTCCATGTTTCATTTCCACGTGCAAGGAGCTTCCTGGAGCATGTTGTTGGTGATGCGATGCTTAGACATTCTTCCAGGGGTTCGGGGTTTAGACTCCAGAGTTTAGCCTTCCAGGGCTTGGTGCTCCTGCTGAAAACGGCAATAGCGATACACGGAAACAGTTCCACCAAAAGGATAGAAAGACCTTTTTTCAGGAAGAACGAATATAGCTAAAGGGTCGTAGGGAATGATAAGAGCACCTGAGGCCTGGTGTCCCGAAGCCATGCAGGCATGAGCATCGAGTGGAGGCTTGCACCAGACCCCAAACCCTAAACCGAGAACCCTGAACCCTAANNAACCCTAAACCCTAAACCCTTACGACAAGCAGAAACTGAGCATCATGACCTTTCCAAAAGAGCCTTTAAGGAGCCGGTGTATTGAGCATACACAGCTCGTGGTAATACCCTGAACCCTACTCAGTGTCGCCATGATCTGGCAGCCCTAAAACCTTCTAAGAGTTCCTCTGAAGGAACCCCACCCTAAACCCTAAAC